TTGCAGCTGGGTACATACCATAGCTGAGAGGCTAATCAGTATATAGATTTAAATTTCTTTTATTACTAAATTTCTAATTTTTCCCCGATAACTTTACGAAACATTTTAACTGAAAAAATTGTTTATATTAAAATGCATCTGTTTTATTACTACTTTTCTATTCACCATACTTTTGAAGCTTAGTTTCTGTTATTGTATATTTGAATTTTCATTATAATTTAAGATTTATATTTGTGTTTTATTTTTTAGGAAAGCAATGAAACTCAACAGATTATCTTATTTGGCAATCATATTTTATCAAATAATCATTGCTCGTACAGAAAAAGTAACAGCAAGATTAGAAACTAGTAAAATATTTTCACCAATAAAAGTGGAAAATGAGACTTTAAATAAAGTGCCATCTTATTTGTCAGAAAAAACTCTTAATGAATCCACGAGAAGAGAAAGTAATTTGGATTACGCAACTGTCAGCCGCAAATTCAACGATGTAAAATATTATGAAATTGCTCCAACGAAATATTCAAGTAAACTGGATAATCTGTGGTACACAAATCCAATGGAAAGCCTTGGAATACGCAATGAAAGCGTTCGAAAAAATGATTATTCATCATTATCTTGGCCTACCTGGTCTGCAAAGAAAGAGATATACAACAACCGAAATAAAAAGAATCGTAAATCAACTGATCCATTTGAAGATTATTTAGGATTAGATTCAAAACTATATGAAATGAGTGACAGAAAATATATTCATGAGCACGAAGGTATTTTTTTCCCGATCCATGTACCTTCGCATCATCATGAAAAAGAAGATCATTTAATACCTCTTCTATTGCTCCTTTTACTTCCTTTACTTTTATTTGCAATTATAATTCCACTCAATGCAAACTTGCTTTCGACTTTGTTTCTTATAATGCAAAATAATAATGGAGGAACGACAACAACAGCAGGACTAGCACCTGGTCGTAAGAAAAGATATCTTGATACATCTCATCCTGATATAGAAGAGAAAATTTTTGATGCCTTAAAAATTGTGGACAAAATTATTGATAAAGCAAGTTTATAGTTTAAAGAAAAAAATGCATTTGAGAATATTGTATAACTAATTTATCTAATTGTTCTATATAGGTCATCTTTATGCTCCAGGATAATCAAACTCGATTTTGTGTTGTTAGTATAATGTTTTATAAGAAATAAAAATGCATATCTTCGTAACAAATAATAAATAAATTCATTTAGGAAAACGATATTGTGTAGCTTTCTTTTTTTTCTTCCTTTTTTAAAAAAATCACTTGGCATACAATTTTGAGATGGTTTCATTGCGGTTATGCTTTCTAGGTAAGAGTAGCCGGCTACGAATGTAGTAGTCCTTGGTTCGATCCCTGATGGAGGCCAGCAACATCTCTTTCGTACTCCTACATTCTATTGAACTGAATAATGAATACTCAACTCTCTCACTCCTCCATAGATGGCAGCATTAAGTTACTTCGCATCAACGGTCCACTCCATAGGGTACTACTACTGAGTTTCTGAGTCATAAAATTTTAAGAAGTCGCATATTTACGAATGTCATAACTCAGAAACTATTCTACCAACTATGCAAAAATTTTGAATTTTATCACTTAAAATTACAAATTTTAAAGTGATGTAAAAATTTGTATATCTTATAATTCAAAACCTTCTTGACTGCTGATAAATTACAAAAAAAAAAAAAAAAATAATAATAATAAATAAAATAAAATTTTAAAAAAAATTAAAAAATATAAAAAATAAATTTTTGCGTGGAATATTTTTTGGAAAAATGAAAGTTATAATTGTATTAAATTTTTTTCCGCTTCGTTTAAAAAGCTTTTGAGAAAAAGCGAAATATGATAAAAGTGAAACTAATCTCAAGAGGGCCAAACTTTAGATTACTTTCAAGCCTAAACTAATAGGGCCATGTTTTTTAGATTGTGGGTATCCCTCTCCCTTATTTTGAGTGTCAAAAATACAAATTGAACATAAAAAGGGTATATCTATTCGGAAAAAGATCGTTTTTGTGTCTGATTTCGTTAATTCCTTAAACCACATTAAGAATGAGTCCTGATATGTGAAAATCTGATCATTAGATCACATCAAGAGTGACTCAGGTTGTTCACTTTTTAATTTCGAACACTGTACATCAGGGGTGTCAAACTCAAAAGCTAACTTGGGCCAAATAAACAATGCTTAACTTTAGGTGGGCCGCAAAAAAAATCAATGTTAACAGAAACAAATATTTTTATTTTGAAAAGTACATTGTAATAAACATAAATAAAGTTAAATTATTCTTTACGTCCTGATACTTGACATTTCTTCTCTGCAACTATCTTTACTATTTTGGGGAGAAATTTTATTGGCCGAGACTACTTTCAAAATTGACCCAACGTGAGCGTTATTAATACGGTTTCGGACAGGAGATTTATTTCCATTCTTAACAGAAAATAATTGCTCTCACTGATAAGTACTTAATTAAAATAATTCTATAATACTAAATAATTTCATATGCGAATTTTCGAGTATTTTCAAACCTTGCGGTANTGTAAAATTCAGGCATAACCACTTCAATGAATTTTGCCTTCAAATTTGAGTCGCACTGAATCTCAATCACTTCCATTTGCATACTACTGGAGTCTATATTTATTGAGAAAATCGACGAAAACAAACAAAGTTTGTCTTCCAAAGAATTAAAATCTATAAACCTTGTTTCAAAATCTGTTCCAAGATTTTCTGCTTACTTTTGTTACAATGCAGAATCATCTAAACTAGATTTGTTCTTGTTGCATTTTGGGAAGTGCGTTATATCTTCATTTTTCAGTTGCCTTTCCCAAAGAAATAGTTTATATTGGAATACTTTAATTATGTCAAACATGTTTGTAATGATCTGATCCTTGCCTTGTAACAATAAATTTAAATCGGATAAGTGTTGGGTTATATCAACCATAAAAGATAAATCTTGCAACCATATTCAATCGGAGAACAAGCTCGTATCTTGATTTTTAGCATGTAAAAACTTACATATTTCTTCTTTCGAATCCCAGAATTGTTTGAGAATCTTAAGGCAAGATAACCAACTTACCTCGCTGTAGTAGGATGAACCTGAATATGCACTATCTAATTGATAGCTTAATGAGAAACGGTCTCCATTTCAGCCAATTAGAATTTTACATTTTCCCGCGTACAATTTAAAATAATCCGTATAGTTTATAAATAAAGTATATTAGAATTTTTTATGTTGGTTTCGTTTCTAATTCACATTTCCAAATTATTTGTACTTTGCTTTGGATATATTGACTGGGCCACAAAAATGTTCACCTCGGGACGCATGCGGCCCGCAGGCCGCGAGTTTGACACCCCTGCTGTACATCGAAGTCATTGGTCACGAAGACTTAATTTTAAAATATTTTTTTTTCTCTTTTTTTACCACGTTTTACTTAGCTCAGTCTCAAAAGTTAGCTCGTTTTAGCCTATTTGGGGCAACTTTCTAACTAGCTAGAATGCTCTACTGTAACTCTGAGAAGATAATAACACGAATTTTGTTCGTTTTCTAAACACTATAAACATAATTGGACAAGAAATTATTTATTTTAAAAGAAAAGAGATTTGTTAAAGTTTGATGAACACATGGAATTAATGACATTATAATTATCACGTAAAATCTGAATAAATGAATAAGAGAAAATGGAGATAAATGTGTTTCAAATTATTTCTAAGAACATTTCAATCAATTTTTAGAAATTGTTTGGTGGTGGTCTTGTACTCCTTAGATCCCCTCCCATTTATTTAAATCTGTAAACAAACTATTTAAATAGTGTCATTACTCACATATTTGACGATAATAATAATGGAAGTTATAACTTGGTTAAATTTACATTAATTTACTGAAATCAAATTATTTTATGTGTTGTAGTGGTAAGTTTTCCCATGTGGGAGAAACGCTAAAAATTCAAATATTTTTAGCTTTTCTCCCACAGTATGTAATTTTTTTTTGAAAATAATATATCGAAGTTTTATGGAATTTTATTCGTTTAAAACTATACTTCATTGAAAACTCTCTTAACTATAGTCAATTTAAAGTAAGATTTTCTCTATTTAATTTGATTCATAATTTAAAGGTACACAAATAAAAACATTTATTACAAAAAGAACAAACGCCTTATATACGTATTCATTTTTTTTTAAATATTAAGAAACTTTATAGTCAATAAAAAATTTGTAAAATTGACGAAAAATTAGGATTACATTAAAACGCTTTGGGTGCTATGCCGTTCTCCAGCTTACCCCCTCAACAAAACCCCTGATTTTCATACATGTATGATAACTAGGGGTTTAGTTAAGGGGAGGGGATAAAGATCTCATATTCAAACAGTTGAATATGAGATCTTTGTCTGGAGTTTCCTTGAACCATTCTCGGTAACTCATTCCTTGAACCATTATACCCACTTACATGATAGATCAAAAATTTTAAATTTTAGAACAAAATCAGCTAACTTTGAGGTTGAGTAGCATTTTTTTAAAAAAAATTTGTATTTATACTTTAAAGGATTTTCTTTACTTACTAAAAAATTTCCTTTAAATAATTTTTGAAATATTTATTTCTTTAAGCTAAAATAATACTTGATGAAATCTTAATACTTGATAAAATCTTATTACTTGAAAATGTTTTTAATTCATTAGTATGAATTAAATAAAGTCAGTTGAATAATAAACTTGTTCTTCAGTTTTTGAAAAACAGTTTTTGGAAGTTAGATGGATTAATAAAAAAAACTAAAATTAAAAATAATATATTAATAAAAAATAATAAAACTATTGAAATGAAAACGAAACTTAGAACTTGCGCTTTTCTAACTGCTTGTTTTTGTTAAGTTAAAGAGCTGAATAACTAACATTAGCCTCGGCTACGTCGTCTGCATTTATTTCTACAAAGATATATTAGCAAAAGCAGGCAAAAGTAGGTGTCCGGAAACTTTTTTAGTTTAATGTAATCATGTGTTGTTTCCGGTATGAATGAAAGATGCTCTTATATAAAAGTAGTATCAGTTTTGATTCGTAAAATGTGTATACGGTTTGATTCTCAAACTCATTAAGTTTAAAGTATTTGATGGTTAACAACTAACACCTTTGTACTAAATAAACTGAAGATCTTAGAAAACACTTCAAGAAGTACGATAACTGAGCAAGTGATGCAATGCTTCCCTCCTTTATTTAACCTTAATGGTAAAATCTGTTTGATTCTCCAGCATCTTTGGCCTAAATTAATAATTATTCATGAGGTACATGGTTTCGGAAAGTAAAACTCTGTCCCCGAGCAGTTTATTTGTTCATATTAAATTTGAACATCTAATTGCTGGAATCAGCGGCGGTGTTACTTCAACACTAGTTCTGCATCCTCTGGATTTGCTTAAAATTAGATTCGCAGGTTGGTAATTTTATTTTAAAATGCAATTTTTTTTCTTAAAGTTGTTTTTATAAACATTCATTTTATATACGATGTCGTGTATGTATATATATATATATANAATTTTTCTCTTAATTTGATAATGAAAGAAAATTACTTTTTGAAAGATGCACATAAAATAGTAAAAGAGAGTAATTTAAAAATTGTTGAGGACAAATTTCAGTTATTACATTACACATATTTTTATAAATTTTTACAGTATTAAACAAGTTCCCTTTCAAAACTCAAAGTGCCCTTTTCTGAGAGGAAGCACCCTGCCCTTTTTTATTCTCTCTCTCTGGGAAAACTCTGGAAATAAATACTCAGTTCTTAATGATGCTTACTTCTGCCAAAATTTTAACATGGAGTGAAATTTTCTCAACATTAAGTGTGGTTCATTCTAAGTTGTAAAATAAACTGAAAAAAGAAAAATGCCTTAAAAGTGGTACTTTCAAATGAAGCAATTAATTCAAAAGATATAATATATAAACTGACTTAACTTTTTTTTAAAACCCTTATTTTGAAAGAATTGTAAATTTTCAATTATAAGTTTAGTATGTAGAATTCAAGATTAAAGTGGTTTTGATTTTCAATGTGTTAAAATCACGTTTCGACTCTCGACATCATTTTTTTGGATAATTCAATGTGTTAAAATCACATCTCGATAATTACCTCAATTATCTTATTTTAGTTATGGTACCAATATTCTTAAACCAGGGATGGCAAGCTCTTTCAAATGGAAGAGCCTCTTTTTCAAATAGAAATATTAATTTTAAAATTTAAATTAGTTTATAATTCTAATCTAGTCTGAATAATGTTACAATTACTTATATTAAATTGCAAATATTAACTGTTTAAAGTTTTAAACCAAATTAAAATTTAACTTTGTGTAAAATTTTAAAGTCTATATATCATATAATTTAAAAGTCAGTTTGAGTATTCATACTTATAAGTGATTTTGTTTATGCTCTATTGCACACCAAATGGAACCAATATCAGACAAGATGCGGAAAATTTATGTTTCATCTCCAGGGACGCATATTTTTCCATCCAGTTTATAGTCCTTCATATCTCTATATTTTGTTTTAACTTTTTAAGCATAATTTGAAATGTGAGTTATTTTTATTTCTCGTAGAATTTCGTAGTTTTTGAAAATTTTATAGTATTATCTAGTATTTAGTTTACTATCAATTTTAATGTTCATTCATTTTAAAAATCTAAATAAAGTTAGATAATTTTTTAATGAATTGGTTTCATTCAATTTCCCATACAGTACTCGAGAAAAACAGTACTTGATGAAAGTTATTTTCTATTAAAATAACTAAAAAAATAATTTCACTTTGTATATGACAGATGAAGTAGCTTTTGTTGCCACAATCAAGATTTAAACTTTTATCACAAAATCTGTGGTAATTTACTTATATTTTTAATAAGGAATAAATTGTAGCTAAAACTTTTATTGTGTAAAAATTTTCATTTACTAGTGATTTGTGCTTGTAAGCAATTAAAACTTTAAAAGTTTTTTTATATTTTTTTATGTGAATATAGTTTTTTAATAGAATTTGTTGTAATTTGCTCATTTCTTAATTCTTTTGTGTTCAAGTATCATACCATTCAATTCTCATTGATTATGATTCTATTTTTCTTTTCCTTTTGGTTCTATGTTACCTTTATGCTCAAATTTCATACTATGTACAGGTACTTTTTAAGTATCATACTATTCAATTCTCCTTGATAATGGTTCTATTTCTTCCTTTAGTGAGGTGATATCTTAAAATATATGTGTACATTACCCCGATTACCAAAGATATAAAGGCATATATACATATACATTACTATGTGTACATGAAAAGAATCTATCTGTTATTAGCTTTCGGAAACATTGCCAAATTTGAATTTAATAAGGCAATGAAATCAAAAGTTCGATTTAAATTCTTTGCCAAATAATTGCTAAATCAATTGCTAATTGCATTTTTATTTTTTTCTAGTCATAAGATATTTATTTTTCATGGGAATCTTTTAAAAAAGAATTAATATTATAAATTAAGCACTGGCTTTAGGTAAAAAAGACCTAGAAATTTAGAAGTCCTGGGTCCAAATGTCTGTATTTTCCAAAGTCTAGTGGAATCACTGCTTAAAAGTATTATATTATAAAAGTTTGTAATTGTGAATTCAGCATGTGATTTGTTGAATTGCTTATGTTTAGCATGTGGTTTGTTTATATAATAGTATAAATAAAATTTAATTATGATATTTTAACAGTTCTTCCTATAATAATTTTTTTATTTTATTTCTAATGGCAAAATTAAAAGACAACTGCAATAATGAAAATAAAGAATAATATAGAGAACAAACATAGAGAGAAAGTAAAACATTAATCAACTTTATATGATAGAGCCTAAAGCTATTTTTTTTATTTTATTTTATAACCGTTGTTGAACAGCCGACCCAATTTCATAGGTTTACGACTACTTACGTTCAACTCCGTAGCCTTGTAATTTTGAACCAATCCAGAAGACCAGGACACTCCTAGATCAGTACCCCCAGAGGTATTGATTTGTTGTGGGAACATGGAGGACTTTGAGACTCGACAGATTTAACGTGCATCAGTCACCATTTACTACACGGGGAGTCTTCGGCAGGCGAGGATCGAACCCACGACCTCTTGGATATGGGCTCAAAGCCCTACCGACCAGGCTATCCCGGCCCCGCCTAAAGCTATTGACAACATGTCTGATTTTAACCTGTTTTGAACAATTTTTGCAAAGGTCAGGTAAAGACAATTCATAACTATAGAAATAACAGGGCGCCCCACCCTACTTGACCTTTGATCCCAATAACTGTGCTCTCTTTGCCCTTTATGCAAATATAATCTGCCATCCCTTAAAAACAATGCCTATTATTCATATTCCATTTTGAAAAAAATTAATTCACTGTTTAAGTAATAATTACACACTGGTAAAATCATCTGTATTTATAGGTTTAATTCTGATTACTATTACAAATATTTACTTTGTTAGGATTATCCTTAACTAGATTTTTTCATAAGTATTACTTATTTTTGGGTGGGGGAATATTATAAATTTTAAAATTGTTTTTTAAATAAAAATTAAAAAAAAAAATTAACTTTTAAATGCTTATTTTCTTATAATTTTCAGTTTAAATTATAGAAAAAAGCTTTCAGGTTGTTTATCAATTTATCATTCTTTTTTTTAGTTTCCTTTTTTTGAAAAAAATTTTTTTGCACTGTCATTGTCTTTTAGGATGTCTTTAATTATTTTTTGTAAACTATAAATTTTTCTCTTAATTTGATAATGAAAGAAAATTACTTTTTGAAAGATGCACATAAAATAGTAAAAGAGAGTAATTTAAAAATTGTTGAGGACAAATTTCAGTTATTACATTACACATATTTTTATAAATTTTTACAGTATTAAACAAGTTCCCTTTCAAAACTCAAAGTGCCCTTTTCTGAGAGGAAGCACCCTGCCCTTTTTTATTCTCTCTCTCTGGGAAAACTCTGGAAATAAATACTCAGTTCTTAATGATGCTTACTTCTGCCAAAATTTTAACATGGAGTGAAATTTTCTCAACATTAAGTGTGGTTCATTCTAAGTTGTAAAATAAACTGAAAAAAGAAAAATGCCTTAAAAGTGGTACTTTCAAATGAAGCAATTAATTCAAAAGATAAATGAATTATCCAAGAAATTTCTAATAATTCTAAGAAATTTTTAAATAATTATTCAAAAATGTTGGTTGTAACTTTCCTTTCTTTAAAGTAATTTTCTGTTACGTTTCACAGGTATAAGATCAATCCTATTTAATAAAAAAATAATATTAAAGAAGGAACAAAATTGAGTTGATTTTTTTAATGTAATTATTTATAATTTAAACAAAACATCTGATAGTGTTTCTTTGAAAAACTATTAATATTCTTATTTAATTTTTCTAAACAAAATTTTTTTTTCTTTAACTGTCTTATTTAACAACTTTTTAAGAATGTCCATTAACACAGTGTAAATTTTTAGCTATCCTAAATGTAGCAAGCAAGAGAACATATTTTTTTCTTGTACTTAAAATTATGTAATAGATCAGGAAGAATTAAAAAAATAGATTTTTCTTTTAAAAAGTAAAGAGATTTTTTTATTTTGACTGTTAAAAAGTGTCTGGAAAATAAAGATTTATAGAAAATGGATGTTTATATATGGGACTTTATACTGTATTTAAATAAGCATTTCCAGAATAAGATCAAAAATTCAGGATTTGATGTCATGATTTAAATGAAGTAAATCCTAATTAAATTAAAAAAATATCAAATTTAAATAATAAAGAATTAGTGAAATCAACAATCTTTTTTAGAATTCATAATAATAGAGTAATATTTTACTTTTCAGTTTTTTTGATTATAGATCTGATATTTCCTGTGCGAATTTCAATGTATTTATTTTGAATTTTGCAAGACAAGTAGTTTATTTTTTTATAGCTTTTTTAGTTTTTTTCAAATGCTATCTAAGAATTAAAAATGTTTCTTTTGTTTGGATGACATGGATGAGAACTGTCTATTTTAAGGCTACTTTTTAACAATAAAATAAAGCCTTTTTTGTCCCCAAAGCACATTGGTGATCTGTTTTAAAATCTTATGTATAAGAATTTTTTAAATTTATTTCCTCTTGCTGTGATTAGGATGGATAATTAAACATTTATGATGTTTTACACAATTTAAGAGTTTAAAAACAAGAAAAGACAAGAGCAATTTAAAAAAAAAAAATTGTTGTAAGAAATAAACTATGAATATGAAGTTGATTGTTATTAGGAATTGAAAGAAATACTTCAAATTGAAAATATTTTCCCTAAATATTCTCAATTTTGTTTTTCCTGCAGTATTTTTTGTATTTTTTATTTATTTATTATTTAAAATTGTTTTATTTATTTTATTTTAAATTAGTTTTTTAATTTTAGTTATATCTGAACTTTTGTGTGCATTGTATTCACGAAAAGAAAAGAGGCAATAAAATAGTATTTTCATAAAAGAAAAGTTTCTCTTAAAATCTGTTTGCATTTTATCAGTGATTTTTTCATTATATTAAACTTTTTTATTGAATAAATGTGATTTAATCAAGAAGAAGAGATGTGAATATTGTCTTTATTATTTAATTTTTGTTGAAAATGAATATTTTGATCTCTTTTTACCTTAAAAACCTTCTAGACATGCTGAAATCCAAATAATTCTTAATAAGGGACTTTCATCGGTATTTGAAGAAAAAAATGCATGAAAAGTTTTATTTATTTGTAACAATAGTTTCAAGTTACATAGTAATATTTAAAATTATGACTGTATAAGTGAGGTATAAACCTTGCTTTATTTTCATACTCTAGAGTAGGAGTGCACAACCTTTTTTGAGTGAAGGGTCAATTGCACAGCAGGTTAACTAATGAAGGGCTACACACATATTTAGTCATGTTGATGGCAAATATGATTATTTTTATATAAATATATTGTGGTTTAAACATTAATTTTTTTATCAAAAAAGTAGTAATATATTTGCAGAAACTCAAATATTTCCAATTATATGAATTCATTCAAAAATGGAAAAACTGATACTTTTTAAAAATTTCTTTTCCCTTTTTATCAATAATTAATTTATCAATCTATATATATGTAGCCATTTAAACTTTTGAATGACTGCAGTGTATGATCTAGGTATAGTATAGTGGTCATGCTTAAAACATCATCCCAATATTTATCTATATACAGATAAATAAATATTGGGTAAAAATATAAATTTTAGTAAAAATTTATTGTTTACAGAATGAAAGTGTGAAATAATACATACATATTTTAATTACAGGAAATTTTTAGGATTTAAACACAAACCAAAATTTAAAACAAAACCATTTTAGTACAAAACTTCAGGTATTTCTACTTGAATAAGAGGTTTTATAAATTTTAAATGGGGAATTATTTCTTTTTCGTTTTTTATAAAAAAGAATCCCCTAAAGTTAAAAAAAAAAAAAAAAAAAATATGAACAGTGAGCAGTTTAAAAATTCATGTTTTCCTTCAGTTTTCGAATTTTTCAGGTTGCCAAAACATTGTATTAAAATATCAGGATTCTAAATACCACAAACAAATGCATGGCGTTAAAAACAACAGAAAAATAACTTACATTTAAGATGAAATGTACACAAATAAATATTTTCAAAGATTGATTGTTTAAATAGACAAATAGAAAATGGCAATTATAGTTAAAAGTAATGAAATTGTAGGAAAGTTTCACAATAATTGAAAAAACAAATGCTTACATTTATGGTAAAAGCAGCACAAATAAAGCGTGTCAGTAAGTAATTATTTAAATGCATGATTAAAATTCATATATCATAATAAAAAATTAGAAATTTTCAAAACAAGAGGGACTGCATCATTAAAACTGCCAGAAAATGATTGAAAAGTAACCTGGATTTATGATTTAGTCAGCAAAAGGAAAGCATGTGAAAAATGTGATTAATTAAATGTGCAATTTGAAACTCGCACGTCATAAAAATATTGATAGTAGAAATATGAGAATTTCTCAATCACATGGAAAAGCGTAGCGATATTGCCTTTAAAAAAGGGGATAAAAGTCATTCAGATTTACAACGAATGCAGAGCCCCTCAAAAAATGATAAATTAAATGCGGTATTTATATCTCGAGAGTTGTAATATCATAATAAATGCATCAGGATTTTAAAAACCACTTAGAAATTAGTAGTTATAAATGAAAAAAAAAAAAAAACGATCGGAAGGTCTCTTAGATTTACAACAAAAACCGTAAAAATAAATTAAGTTGAAAAGTGATGACACAAAATAAAAATTTGCACAACATGATATCGTCTTAAAAATATTGGGTTTTATAAAACCATGCAGAAATTGGTGGCAATAACCGATGAAAAAGCGATCGAGAAACAACGTAGATTTAGAATAGAATTCGCTCAAGTAGAGTACATCAAAAGAGGAAGACTAAAATGTGCGATTCAAAATTTTTAAAGTTTCTTTTTATTTTAAAAAGAAAAAACAAAATCAAGTCCAGAAGCTCCTGCGGGCCACAGGTTGTGCACCCTACTCTAGAGAGTTACATGGTTTCTAATTATTAAAAAAATAATTTAGACAGTTTTGTAGTTTTAAAATGATAGCTATATGATATTGTATTTTTTGTTTCAGTTAACGATGGCCAATTGCTAACAAGACCTAACTACCAAGGCTTAGGAAATGCTGTTTCTACTATAATTAGAGAAGAAGGCATTCGGGGATTGTATAGAGGAGTAACACCTAATTGTTGGGGTGCTGGAGCATCATGGGGTTTTTATTTCCTTTTGTATGTTCTGGTTTAATATAAATAACAGACTTATGTTCAAATAATGTAAAAATATTTACTGTTTATTATATAAATTTTTTAGCAGCAATAATTTTTGTTACCTTTTTAATGATTTTTTCCATAAATATAAACATGCAATTGCATTGTATGCTTTGAAAACATTAGATATTCTCTCAAAAGTGTTTGCCTTTCTATATCTTACATTTCAACTGATTTGAAAAATTTACTTGTCAAGAACAATTTTTCTGTTAATTAAGATGTAAACTGGTTTTGTTTACAATACAGCAATTATTTTGCACCTGAAATTCAGTTCTGTTTCAACATTTATCTTCAGACAACTTAATATTCATCTACTAGACTACTGGCTATTGCCTGTTTTAGGAAGTTGAATTTTTGCCATTAGATTATAGCATTTTCAAAGATAAAAATATAAGATTATTTCCTTTAAGAAATTCTAATTTGTTTAACATAAAGTAATTATGTAAATAAACACATTTCTTAAATCAAAATCTATTAGATGAATAATTAGTTACTCTGATTTAAGTTCAGTTAGAGTTAACATTACACGAAGTTACACTGCTACTTTTTTAATGAATTTTTTATTCCCCAGTTAGGAAAAGACTTTTATCATTTTTTTAGTATTAAGAAACAGTTATATTATCTATTTTAACTGTAACAAAAATTGATATACCTTTCCTTATTTTTAATAATAAAATTTACTTTATACCAAATTGAGTATAGGTAATCTCTTAAGGCATTGATATTGAATTTGTATTGTTTAATATGTTAAGAGTTAATTACTTAAACCAGTAGTTCCTAGCTTGTTTTCATGAAAATACATCTTTCACACAGTCAGGAAAATTTCACTTGTGTTGAAATTCAGTTCTGAACAATTAATAAGGCATTCATTATTTTTTTTCACATAATAAAGGTCAGAGTGCATATAAATATAAACAAAATGTTTATCACTGGATAAATGAAATACTTATACTAATGATTAAAAGGTAAAAAGTCATCAAGAGTGAATTATAAAAAAGTCAAGAGCTAATTCTATTTTACTTCATTTGAAACTGTTTTTGCTTAGTTTAATGATACTGTCTGGGATTAAAATTAATGTTGGTACAGAATCACTAAAATCCAGCTTCTACTTCCACTATGGAATAATCAGTCATCTCTAAGATCAACAAGCAATTGCTACCAATCATATGTAAAGGGATGGTATACCGTTTGATTTGGTTTATTTATTTACTCTTTTGAAAAATGAAATATTCATCATAATTTTAAATCTTGCTAATTCTATCTAATTTTTCATTTAATTTCACTTGTGAAATATTTTTGTTTGCTTTTAAAACAGAGATTGAATGATGACCATAATGCAAAATTTTACGCGTGTAAGAAATGATAAAATCTTGATTTCTATAAAGCTTCATTTGCATGTTTTAGTTAGTTTCTAATGATTTAAATCTAGTATATATTAAACCTATTTTTATTTCATAAGTGTTTTGCCCTTTTAAAAATCTTACCAGAGGGATGTGTACAGACTTATGAACAATTTTAGTCATTTGTTCTTTGAACTAATGAATTTGTTCTTTGAACTGCACCAATTATTACTTCACTTTTTTATTAAATTTATAAATACGCTAAAATTCATTTAAAGAAGTTTTAAATATTTCTAAGGCCATTATTTTTCATTTTGGTCATTTTTGATGATTTTTTGAGGCCTTTGCATTTTTTTAACGAATTTTTATGTCATTTACTTCCTAGCCTAGGTAATATGGGCTGCCACTTCTACTACTGTGTACTTAATGTTTTTTCTTTTTTAGTTACAATGCAATCAAAGCTTACATGACAGACACGGATGACAAGTCAAAAATCACCTTGGGACCAGGTAGTCATATGCTTGCTGCTGCTGAAGCAGGTTAGATATAATTTTAATCACTATATTTTTTCTTTAGTTTCCACAAAATAGAGAAATCTTTAGTGCTTGGTGGTTATGCCTTATAAATTTATTATTTTTTACATCTTCATATAATGCACAGAAAAACTTCTACAGTTTGCTTTTGCTCTTTCAATTGTAAATCTATTAATTCGATTGCAAATCCTTTTGTGCACTGTCAAACATATTTGTTGATCTGAATGTATTTTTCTATTTTTTGAAATTCTATTTTATTGACTAAGTTCGACTTAGTGGAAAATATTTTTAGTGCTTAACTATTACATTACATTAACTATTACATTTTGAGTCAAAAACTTTTAATATAAATCAAGATTTCTATCCTTATGCTTATTTTCTAGAAAAATGAATCAGCAATCTATTTATGTGAGGAAATTTTTTATTTGTCTACTATTTTTGTGAATAATTTTAGTCTTTTCTATTTTTTTGTAGGAAATTTTAATTTCTCTTAAAACATATTTTGATGAAAAAAATTATGTTTTAAACTTTTTAACTATAATTTGTTTAATTTCTTGCACTCCCCTGAAATTTGGAAAATGCCGTGTCTAACTTATGCACCCGAATATTCTCAAAAAGAGCCTAGGATAAGAGAGACAGGCAGATGATAAGAGATTGGGAGACAAGATATAAAATATTTATTCATATAAAGAAGAGATAAGAGCCCATTTGGATGTTCTTGTTTAGCCCGGTATTAAAGGCCACCAGTACGGCTTGTAATATTCATGCTTGGCCCGAAATGTCGATTACGAGACTCGTGATATTCACGTTTGACATGATATTAAACAACGAGCCCGACTCGTGATATTTAAGTTTGGCCTAAAATTTTCATTGCATGTCAGACTCATGAAAATAGTGCAAGGGGTTAAAGAAATCAAAGTTTATTTTTAATTACAAAAATACAATACGGGGTGCATATTATTTTATATATTTTCTAAGCTGCGAAAATTTGGAAATAGATAATTTTTCTCATTGAAAATATAAAATAATTTAACTAATTAATTATTACTTAATTACATCTTGCCACTGCAGCCCATAAAAGATCTTGACCTCCCTTACAACTAGGAATAAGACGTGCAATAAATGTTATTTAATTTTATATCATCTGGTAGGTAACACGATAAAGCAGTCTACTGCCTTATGTTCAAATATTGTTTCTTTTGAATCAAAACTACACTTAATCAGAAATTTGAAATCAATTTTCACAAAATAAAATAAATTAATCTATAACAATGAAAAATGTTAATTATAAAAAATACTTTATAACATCAATAACATTGCTTAATTTTTTATATAAAATAATATAAATTTGACTTACCTAATTTTAAAAATAAAACCAAGTGTACTTTTTGTTTCAAATTTTTTTCAAAATTAGAAACAATTTAGAATTTAAACAAAATACATTTAAGTTAAGTATTAAGCAATTTTGAAAGAAAGTGGTTTTCTTTTAAAACAGAGACTGCAAAGTAACAAAAGTCTTTCTCAAAATAATCTACCAGAAACTTTGTTAAGTCTGGACAAAAGAAAAAAAGATGACAAAATATTAGTCAGCTATCGTAAAAAAAATGCCAGGCTAAAAATAATTTACAAGAAATGCTAAATTCTGGCAAAATAATGTACAGCAACCACAATAAATCAGAAGTCCCACTGAAAATAGTTATCAAGAAACATAAAATCCTGAGAAGAAAGAAAGTCCAAAGCTTTCTATGTTTTTAAGCTGACCCACTTATGAAACGTATAAACAGCAACTTCTGATTCAATTCTCTTCTTGCTATTCAATTTTCTTCTTGCTATTCAATATCACAAAAAGAACATCATGTTTCTTCTTCGTCATGTGCTGGCCTAGGCAAGGATCCTCAAATGTTAAATAATTATCTTGTTAAATCATGAACTTCTCATATTGGCTTCTTATATAGACAATATATGTTATATCAAGAAAATTTTGACCCCTGCAAAAGTTTTTAGAATATTAGTTCTTAAATGAATATTAGTTCTTAAAATACTGCAATGTTCAATACATGACGCTATGCTATGCTGTGCTGTGCTATGCTGTGCTGTGCTATGCTGTGCTGTGCTATGCTATGCTGTGCTGTGCTATGCTATGCATGATGCTATTTTAACAGTGTTCTGAATTCTTGTTTTAATACTTTTTTGATGTACGCTTTTAAGATATTCACAGAAATAGTAGAAACGCTAAGAAATTTTTCTGAGGATGGGAAAAATGTTACTTTCTACAAAAAAGGGGGAAAAAATGTTAGCTCTGTTGCAAACAGAGTATTTCTGGTCTCATCTAATACAAAATAAACTATGATAAGATTCTTTTTTACTGCCTGTAAAATTCGCCAAATACATCTTTGCTGTTTCTTTTATAATCATAAGAAAACAATGTTTCAACAAATATGCAATTTTATAACAATGGCATAGATGATGGGTTCAGAACTATTGTAGGAAAAACGACACCCTATATGTCTGAAATAAACTTTGTTTTAAGGATCAATCTCTTAAGGACTGTAGTAAGTGTGCCATATAATTTACATCCTGATTGCCCTTATTGTAAAAATAATGAGCTCTCTTTCTTCCTTCTGTTGTAAGAAATGTAAAATAAAACCATTTAATGTAGTAATGAAAAAAAATTGGAACTCGTGTTAGAATCAAAATAAAGGCTGCAATTTATCATTCTTTACTAGCATCTTCATTGACATGACAGCCACAATGTGTTCATTGAAAATATATTTACTTTTCAAAATCGCAGCTTTTAAAGATGTAATAGTATTTTAATTTTATGCAAAGTTATCAATCAATGTTTGTTTATTAATTTTCAAATGATTTAAGATTTTTTTTTTTTGATTTATAAATTCTGAATGTTTAATTTTATTATTAAAAACATACTAATTATTGATATTCATAATTAAATTTGAGTTTCTCAGAAACCTTTTATTTGTGTAATAATGCTAACCAAGTGTCCTGCAAAACTGAAGTTTCCTTTTTCTTGAGACAAGCACATTTTTCTTTTTTGTTTCTTGGAAGATTTCTACATGGGGAATATAAATGCCAGATCCAACCCACAACCCTTAGCTTTAAATCAGATGAGTGAGTGACATCTTTAAATAACTGAGGTATCATTATTGTAGATGATAAGTTAACTTGAAGGGGTTTAAAAATTGAATTTCAAAACAAATCTTATATTATTGCAAATTATAAATTTAGAAATAAGTGTTAAACATTTTCAAATGAAATATCTTATTAACTCTCGACCATCTTTCTTTCTCAAAATTTACCCTGAACTTCAAATGCCCTAACCTGCAAAAACTGGTTGTCAAGTTTGTAAATTAATGATTTTTATAGTGTTGTAACTATTAAAATTACAAATTTTAAGAAACATTCTCGAAGTAAAAATTTTTAAACAGCTTTTTCAAAGTAAATTAAAGTATAAAGTATGAGCAAATATTTCTTGTAACTGTTTGAAAGAGTTACAATTAGTTTTTTGAAAAATTTTTTTGGTCTCTTTTGAAAATTAAATAAGGAATTAAAATGGAATTTATGATTAAAATTGTGTGTATAATCGCAAAAAGTAGAAAAAAAAGTCTGAGTAACGGTAGACATTTTGTCCTTTCTTTAGCTTGCCCCTCACCCTAAAAAAAGATATCCCTGTTGCTTTGGTTAGGATTAGTAAGAGCTCTTAGTTTAGTACAATGAGATTCAAAAACCATAATTTATTTGAATTTTTTTAATTACCCTTTACAATCTATTATTTTATTGGTACAATTTTGTGATAGCATGAACATTAAGATAAACTTATTTTTAGGTGTTATCACCTTGTTTATCACAAATCCAATCTGGGTTGTAAAAACAAGAATGTGTTTGCAATATCAACCATGTTCTACTGCATCCAGCTTACCCCCATCAAAACATTATAATGGTATGTTGGATGCTCTATCTAAAGTTTATCGCCATGAAGGAATACCAGGAATGTATAAGGTATGATATTTATTTATGTGCTTTCATAATTTCAATTTTTTCATTTATAATTTTTTTGGGATATTCTCATTTTAATATTTTGCTGTTATCGAAAACATTGAAATTTTTTTATAACATTGGATGCTACTCTACCTTTTTTTTTTGATTTGATAAATTTGCTTTTTTTTCTTTTACATTTGAGGTTAGGAAAGAAAGGCTATGCTTCAAAATTCTGCAATGTTAATTTGCGTTAACATATTCAGCATGGTTATTGCGCCATTTTATAATGTATCTAATATAAATAGTTTTCACAGACAGTGAATTTTAAATGTGAGTGTGTTTAACATTATAGCATAGCATATGATAGAATCACTCCGTCTTATTGAATTTATGAGCTGAGACATTCATTGATGCCACACCGGCCAAAGTAGAGTACCCAGTGAAGCATTCATGGTGCCACACCATTTTTATCTTCAAGAAACAAGCATATGTTAAACCAAGTGTTCCAGTCAGAAATGATATTTGAGAGTAATACTTCGTTGAAATTACTACGCCAGACCAACAGTGGTCATTAAGAACTACAAATATTTATTGACCATCTAAACTATTGTTACGAGTTAATAAAAGTTAAATTGTTATGTATTTTGATTGGCATTTTAGAAAGTAATGTAGCTTGTTTCATAGTAGAGGCTTATAAAAGGACAATTCAAAAAAAAAAAATTCTTCTGAATACTATGTTTCAGGTTTGTAATGATCTTGTTTATCAAATGCTTTGTATAAACTGTATCATTCTTTTAACTTAAAATTCTGTATTCTTCAGCCATTTCTTTACTTATAAACATTATTTTAATATGTTTATCAAAAAATTTGCAAGTTATTTAGAAAAAGGCTGAGCATTAAGAATGACTTATTCTCCTTGCATTATCACTTTTAAAACTTCATTTTTAGCATGCTTTCAAAATCAACTTTTCAGGCCATCTATGCCTTCAAAATCAACTTTTTCATGTGAAACTTGCATCAAAATTTATTCATTATAATTTTTAATAGAGTCTGCTTTAAGGGAGAAGTTGTCAGATAATGCCATTTTGATTAATAATTTGAAAAATTATTTCATATTTGAAATGTACATTACAAGGAAATTTCTAATTCTCTGTGCGCATCTTTCATCTTCCCATCATGTTCGTGTTTTATAGTATAGTTCTCTGCAAAATTAATGCACATAATTTCTACATATGGAAGACTCTTTTTCAAATGACACCATTTTTTTTCAAAAAAATATTATAAATGTCTTGCAGGTAGTTGCTACTGAGCTGCAATTTCCTTTTAAGCACAACCCAAATCAGTAACTTTTTTGGTTGTTGACAGTGAACCCTTGTTCTTTTGGTTGTGATCGATGAGCTTTAACTGCTTTGTCTAAATTTTGCCTTCTATTTTAGTATCTAAATACTTTTCAAATCAACTCTCTTGACAGATTCTATCTGCACAGTTTATATGTTTTCCACCAAAACCAAGCCCTTTCTTTTGCGTTTATTTCTGGGCCTTTTGGAAGGTCAAGACAAAAGGTTACTATGCCTGAAAATATCAAATCTGTATTTTCATGGCATATGCATCTATGCACATCCTGTACTTTTTTTCAGATGAGAGAACATGATTTGTATGAAAATCATGAAACTTACTCAGAGACTAATATTTGAATCATGAAACCAATCTCAGGGGTCTGTTTAGAAGAAATTTGGGTCTGTTAACGGACCCTTCACAAAATATCTTTTTATAAAAACGAACCCTTAGCAAAGTATTTTAACTTAAAAATGGACCCTTTACAAAATGATTTTTCTTTTAATCGGACCCTTCACAAATTTGTTTATCTTCATTATTATTTTGTTAATCAAATAAACCCTTTCCAGGGCGGAAAACAAAAAAGATGGATATAAACGAATTAAGTTTTGTCTTCGGCAGACGATTCTTCCATTATTCGTCCGAAATTAATATTCTGCGTTCAGCAGTATAGGCTAAATACCAAATATTTGTATGTTGCTTCTCTAATTTAGAAGCAGAAATTGTTGTTTATTTTTTAAAATTTAATTTTTTTAATTATAATTTTACAGTGTTGAGCATAATCTTGTATGTCTTTACAATTTCAAAACTCCTTGAAAAATTTTTTTTTTGCAATAACGGACCCTATTTGCACTAATTCATAAAAGCGGACCCTGGTTGAAAGAATGTGAGTAATTTTTTCAAAATTTCACGGAAAACGGACCTTTTACAAAATGTCTGGACAGACCCCTGAATCTTAAAATCAGTATTTTCATTTAAAAAAACAGCTTCATATGCTGCTCCCAATGTTCATTACTATTTAAAATGTGCATTTTCTTTTCCCTGTAAATGTTTTAGGAGATATTTTTTCCAGAGCAAATTCAGCTAATTTGTCTCAGATGAGGAAAAAAAAAATGATATCTTTCATTTTTTTATGATATTTTATCATTTCTTATTGTTCATTAGTTTTGGAATCAACTTGTAAAACTTTTACTTTCTTTTTCACAGCATTTTCAATTACTTGTTTTATTTTCAAGGAAGGAAATTTTGATATTACATTTGATCTATTAAAAAAATAAGGCTTGAAATTTTTTAATTTTTTCTTTATAAAAATGTGACTTTGAATTTTTGGTCTTCTTACCATATGTTAGTAAATTAATAATTATTAGGCTCCCTTAAGCACTAATTTACTTTTATTGATGATTTTTGTCATACTCTGATAAAAGCTTTTCAAAATTCATTCTCACTGAAGGAAATAATGTATTTATATTTAGGGTCTTGTACCTGGCATGTTTGGGGTCTCACATGGTGCCCTGCAATTTATGGCTTATGAAGAATTGAAGAAAAAGTATATTAGCTATTATCATCTCCCACTTGATGATAAACTGGTAAAGACAAGTATATTTTTAATGTACTTTTTGGTGTAACTACATAATTTTTTTTGCATATATGTTAAAAGCTTAGTCCTTATCATATAGTTTTCGCAGTTTTTTGTGATTACAATTTACAGGAGTAATATTATATGCATTAAAATTAAAATACGAAGAAATACTTTGAATTCTGTACTGTAATAATAGATGTCTATCTTATTTTCAATAAATATACTGTTGAAACCTGATTATCCATAACCCTCAGGACCAGGATAGGTTTGGTCAGAAATTTAAAATTCGGAGATAGTGAGACCTTTACAAGTCAATTTTTTTCAAATTTATACAGTTTATACATTTATTATTACAATAAATTAAACAAAAAATTTTTCTAAACTTTTCAATCATAAATAACAATGCAAAAATAAAATTGAAATAAAAGTCTGGGATACATTTTTGCTTTCAGTATAATTGTCATTTTCTAGTAGATATTTTTGATTCTTTGTAATAATGTAATTGAATAACATTCATTTTTCATGATTTATAAAACCACTTACAGCATTAAGAGAGCTTAGTTGTATCGAATTACTAAGTTGCTATGTCTTTTGCAGCTGCATGAGGTATAGTACTACCATTATCATAATCTGCTTTATCACTATCAGAACTATCATATGAAGTTTTTTTTTTAAAAATATGTTTATGAACAATTTCAATATACCTAAATTGGGGTTGATTGGTTAAACCAGTCTGATTTAAAACAACCGTTTTTTTTTCTCTCCAGAAAACCAAGCTTGGTTAATGTTATATGTGATATGTAGTTTTTAAATGTTTGGCATATTATTGCTCTTTTGTTAAAATATATTAAATATATAGTAATTTAAAAAAAAATAAATTTTATTGCCAAATCTATGTTTTGATAGTTTTTAAAGTTATTTAAAAAAATCCCATTGCAGAACAAGTTTAGATAAAAATTTCTCTACTAAGCAATACATTATGGTTAATATAATAAAACCATAAATGGAAATGAGGTGTTTTTCTAAAAGTTATTTTTTTTCAGCTTATTTTTAGAAATATTTTCTAGTCATCTGTGTAAATAAATATTATCAGTGCAAATAAATTTTTATTCTATGTAATCTGCATATTTTTATTAATGATTCTAATATTTTTAAAATACAGTGCTCATATAAAAGAGTATAATACACGAATATAAAAAAAGATATCTTGAATATTTTCTTTTATAAGCATAACAGTGCTTATAAATAATGCAGTATGAAACAAAATAATATTCAGTGCACAAAAAAGGACCACTTGACATTACTTTTGATCTAATGATGGTATCTTCCCTTTCTAGGACTCAATTGTAATGGTTGGAAGGGCTGACCAGAAAAATGCTAATTAATTAGTGCACATGATAGTTTGAACTATGAAATCAGACACAAAACATACTTTCTTTGAGTAAACATAAATTTTTTTAAGGGATTCCGCTTTTTGACCTCAAAAAATTAGTGGGTAGCTTGAATCTCGGAAATATAAATTCAATAGTTCGGTCAGGGCAGCGGTCCAAAGTTCATATCCCTTAATGTTAATTTTACTTTTAGCATATATCGCCAAATCATGAGAACTTATAAAGCTGATTGAAAATATGCAAATGTATTGTTTTTTTTATTAAATTTACTAACAGTCGAAAAATTTTTGAAATCTTTGGTATACAATTTTTTAAATTTTAAAGAATGTAATTTTGCACAATAAAATACAAAATTTGAGAAAAATCAGTGGAATATAATTTTTAATATTTGATAAAATACAAATTTTAATCCAATCGAAATAGAGTTTTAAAAAATGACTTCTCATGAACTCGCATACCTTATATTTCAAAATTTTTGGACTATTACTAAATAAAATAATAAGTCTTCAGTAAAGTTATTTTTTTGCTTGAAATTATTTTTGTATTAACTAATTTTATTATTGTGTGCTAAAATTTTTCAAATTGCTTAGAAAATTCTTGAGATATAGCAAATTATGCAAAAAGTAAAACTAAGATTAAGGGGTCCGAACTTTGGATTGCTTTCCTGACCAAACTAATTTGACCATATTTTCCAAATTGTAGTCACTTCTTTCATTTTGGAGTATAGAATGTTTCTTCATTTTAAAAATATGTTTTTGTATGTGATTTCTTAACTTAAAATATCCTCTAAACTAATTAATTACCATAATAGAGATCAGCCCTTCGAATAATTAAGATTGTGTCCTAGAATGTTAAGATCCGTTCATTAGATTAAAATTCATCAGGATAGTCTATTTTTTTAGCACACTGTACATTTTTTATTTATTACATTATTTATATATTGAATATTGTTAAACGTAAAGCTTCATTGTAGTAAAATAATTCTTAATGCAATTTCTTCCTTATATATTTGATATATATAAGGTACCTGATTATATACCTGATTAATGACATTAAATAATTCTAAAATTTGACATTTTCATTTATATTGGCAAACAAAGGGAAACTCATTATTTTACATACATTACTATTATGTAACATTTTGATATTGCATTTTTATTTACATGTTAATTTGAAATGTGAAGTAGTATATAAGATTTTTCAAAATCTTCAGATATTCTTTTTTTATTTTGTTTCCATGTTTATGGAAGGAAAGAGGTTTTAATTGTTTATTTTTTATATTTACTAATAGTTGAAAAAGTTTTCATGATTATGCTTAATACTTGTTTAATTAGTTTTAATTTAGAATGTAAAGTATTATTTAACCTATTGTTTAATAAAAACCGAATAAAACCCTGTTTAAACCAAAACCTGATTTAAACCAAGTAACCCTGGTTTTTCCTCACAACTCTGTTGTAAATTTTTTGCACCTAGCATGCTTATTATTATTTACTAATCTAGAAATTTATTAGAAGTTTTTCTTAGGCACAAGACTTCCATTGCCAATATAAAACCTAACTCATCATTATTAGTTCCTTTATCTGCCTTTTTTATAGTATTATTACAGTATGTGTAGTAATCAAGGTTCTACTTCAATGAAATTATTCAGTAACATAATTTATGTTAGGTTACTTGAGGTTTAATTATATTTTCTTTTTATAGGGTACAGCTCAATACTTGTCATTTGCTGCCTTGTCTAAACTTTTTGCTGCCAGTGTAACTTATCCATACCAGGTTATTAGAGCAAGGCTTCAAGATCAGTATAAAGAATACTCTGGTGTCTTGGAAGTAATTAAAAGGACATGGAGGTAATCTAATATTCTTATATGTTTTATATAACTACATTTGATGTTCTTAATATTCTCTGTGGGCCAAAATAAAACTAACATAATGTGAAATTACAGCATTATAAATTTACAAAAAAGTTTTACATATTAATTTATTTCTGAAAACTGTATGTTAATTTTCACGAAATCATGTTTTAAAATAATTTTTTAAAATATCAACTAACAGAATATTGAAAAATAAAGCATAATTTGTTTTAATATGCACAAACATTTTTATTAAAGGTATTTAAAGAATAAATGCAGTATCTGAAATAAAACAATCATTGATATGGTAGTTAAAATAAATATTGCAAGTTGTAGTTCAACATAAAGACATTTACGTGTGTGTTTAATATTAAATAAAAAGAAAATTAATTTTGCTTCTTCAAATTGTGAAACACAACTGGACTGTAGAAAGAAAAAATAATATAATTAATTCCTTCCCAAAATTCTGACTGCTTAAAGGAGACCCTTCACAAAACTATTAACATCTTTAAAGAGACTTTTAGCAAAATTCCAACTAAAACTGCTTAATTTTTTTCTCTAAATGTGGCTTTTATTCTATTTTGTATTTTACTAGGTAAATTTTATACTTATGTAAGGCATGTGTTTAATATCAAAAACTCATTTTTATATTTAAAAGTTCACATATTTTTACACTAACATATTTTTTGTATACTTTTATATTTCATAGAAAAAGACATTTGTTCATGATAAAATTAATTTTTGTGAAATTTCATATTGTTTTTCATAAAATTTAAAAAGCAGAATCCCTGACAGAAATCTTGAATTGGTAAACACTAATAAAATTTTGGCATCTATTTCTGAAGTGATTTCTTACTCTATGATACCTCTCAAGCAATTTTTCTTAATCAAATAAATATAGGTTTTGTAACCCTAAAGGTATCCTAGTCGCTGTTTTTGTTTTCTGACCTTAGCCATATTTGTTTTCTGATTCTTACTTAGCTTTGTTTTAGCATCAGACGTAGAGTGGTGAGTTTACAATATGAACTAAAATCCGTCTGAACAAAAGATTTGTGCATGGTTTTCAGTTTTAGTGTGTGTGTGTGTTTGGCAAAAGGAAAAAAAGGCCGACCCAAAATGTGGCGACCGGAAGTATTATTATTTTTTCTTCTTTTCAAAATAGCTGCCAATAAATTTTAAATTGGAAAAAAATCCAGTGACTAGTAAATTTTTACTTAGGAGTTAGCCTCGTGGCAGAATCGCGGCAACATGGTAACATTGTTGCGGAATATTACAGAGTTCTTGCAGAAAGAATTTTCTCTTAGGAAGTAAAAAATTTGGCTTTTCAGAAGTAGTAAAAATTTTTGGTTTTCAACAGAAATTTTGTGTCTCTAAAATTATAATTAAAAGATGCCTTTTTTCGCACATCGGAGAGAAAGAAATGTTCATGATTTTTCTATTCTTATTTGTAAAGAATGAAAAATATAGAATAATGAAGTAAAAAATTTCTTTCCTGCAGAAATGTTGGAAGATTTTTATTCCTCCAGAAAATTTTTTTTGATGCCCTTATTTTAGGCCGATATTCTCCTTAATCTATGAGGTATTTCAATCGTTCTTTAAGACAGTTATTGCTACGCATTTTTGCTTTGTTTTTTTTAAAATCTCGATGTCTTTCATTGCTCAGTTATTATTTATGTTCTCGTGAATTTTTGAAATATACCGATATTACAGCTTGAATTGCGGATTCATAAAATCATTATTTGACACGGTCATTTTGCCTGGATATTCCCGTTAATCCACGTGGTATATTTAATTTGCTGAATTTCGATGTCGATCTTTATATCGGTAGTCACTACTACGAATTGCACTATTATTTTTTTTATTTTTATGATGTTATGATTTACGAAATTCGAAAAAGGGAACAATTAGTGTGTTTTCTTCTTTAGCCATTTTTGTACGTGTGTGAGAATCTTTCTTTTTTTTCACACATGTGAGAATCTCACCCATGATATTAAAATAAACGAAAATATTGCATATTAATTTAAAAGTTAAATACAATTTTATTTTATTCAAATAAGTTTTTTTTATGAACACAATGTTTTTGTTACTTAAAATTTAGTTAGTAACATCTATATTTGTTAATATTAAAAGCATCTTGCAGAAAGATATTAGTGCTAGAGAGGTTTGTTGCAGAAAGCTCAAAAAAATTCTGCCACAGGGGGGGGGGCATTTTAGATCTAACTTAGGGTTTTATGTACAAGGAATTCATTTCAACACCACCAAAATCTAACCATCTGTTGAATATTATGAACAATTAATTTGTTTTCCATGATTTGTTAAGAAAGAGAGCAAGAGAGCTTCTAATTTATTTTGAGAGCACCTGTATTAAACAAAATTTGTTTGAGCTGAAAGATTCTGTGAATATAGGAATCAGCTTTGAAATGACAAAAATATTTTCTAAGAATTAAAATTGCCATAGAATTAGAAAATTTCCATTGCATCTTATTTGACAGTTCATTTGCTGTCGCACATTAAAACAACAAACAATTTAGCCAATATTAAACAATGCCTTTCCTTTTCCATAAGCAAAAACATCATATAAATCAGGTCATTTTGATATTTCAAATAGCATTATCTGTTTTCAAAAATATAGACCTGCTGAATTATGTGCGTAGCTCAATTTCAATTTTACCGTTTTATTAGCTCATAGTAAAACTTACAAGTAAATAATTATAACCTTCAACTTATAAGTAAGAGAAATAAATGTATAAAATTAGATAGTTTTAATTTAAAACTAGCATAATTAGTTATTTGTTTTATTTTTATTTCCATTTGTTTATTTCCTAATTTTTATGCATAAAGATTTTTTTTTTTTAAAAGATTCATTTCAGTGGGGATGTTTTTTCCAGGGGAACATTATTTTTTTATTCTTTATTCTTCCCAGTGTTCTATGATTCTGAAACACTGCATAACTTCTTTTATTTTTATAATGAACATATATCATATATAAGTGTTTTATTTAATCTGATCATGAGGCAGGTGCTATGTCTTTATCCTTAGGTATGAAGGTGTGCGTGGGTTTTACAAGGGTTTGCCAGCATACTTCCTCCATGTAACACCAAACATATGTATCGTCTTCCTCATTTATGAGAAACTGACCAATACATCTGAACCCGAAACTCTGTTACCTGATGAAGATGTTCTATGACCAAATTATGCTCATAGAACTTTGTAAAATTGTTGGTGTATATATCATTATTTCTTCAAATAAGAATAAATGCTCTCTTACCTTCTTTAAAGAAAAGTTGGTGATAGGAGAAAGCTTTTAGTTATTTTATCCTTTCATACAAATCAATTTGTCTGTGATAAAGGTTATTTATTATATTAAACTTTTTTTAGATGTTAGGAACATAAAATATTAAACTATACTTTCCCTTTAGACAAGCTATTGAGGAGTCTGTTGTTTATTCTATTAAAGTAATATAAACTTAATTGTAAAAATAGTGTTCAAAGATATGAAAATTTCATAGAAATTATTTTCTATATTTAGCTTCCTATAGTAATAATATTTATTATTACCATAATTATCCTATAGTAATAATTATTTTCTATAGTAATAATATAAAAATATTCTTAGTCTATAATGATACATTGCTAATTTATTCTCTTTGTTGCCTTGTTTGTAGTAGGCATTATTTTTCCTTTAACAATACTCAATATTATTGATTAGTTTATAGTCAGACAATATACTCAAATGAACTGTATCTATTATGTAAAATACAATTAAATCTGTTTATATATGTTTTATACTCATATTGAAAAGGACTGGAAATATTTTCTTTCCTTTAACTTTTTTTAATTTTATTATATTAATTTTTTACTCTATGTTTAGAATTGTTTAATTATCATTAATTTTGATATTGTGTAAATATATATTTATATATATATATATATATAATTTCTAATCTTTATATAATTGTAAAATAATCATAATTTACTAAAAGAATTTTATACATCAGATTGTATCATTGAAAGCTACTGTGTATCCGGCATAATAAAATATGCCTGTGTTCTTAAATTAATTTATTTCATTAGTGATTATTACTTAATAATAATATTTACATTATTTTATTATTGAAAAATTCTTCAATGTTCTAGATAACATTAAAGCAACTATTCGCAAGTAAAATTTAAGAGGTTATTTTCATAAACTTCTTATGCATCAGTTAAGCCATTTAATAAATTTTAAGTTATTATAATGATAGAAAATAGATTTTACCTATACAAATTCTATCTTATATATTTCTGTGATCCAATAATGTAACAAAATAAGTCGTACTCTATAATAATTGTGTTAATAAAAGAATTTACTGATACAAAACTTATTATAATATATTATTTAAGCTACATACTAAAAGAATTTTTAATGCTTTTTTTTATTAATTATTTATATATAATATTTTGTAAGTTCTTGTTCATAAATCAGTTATACAGGCTAAAGAGAGTACATCTTCATACCTACCTATTCCTCACAATTTGTAAAAGGACTTCCTAATTTTCAATTTTATTATAAATAAAATATTCTCTCCTTCAATAAAATTTCCAATTTATTATTTAGTTCATTTTTTCAGAATAATTAAAAATATAAATATACAATTTACATTTAATCTTATTATTTTATACTTTTAATTAAAGAATAAGAATTGAATTAAATTTTTTGTTGTTGCTTGTTTTTTATACAAAATGTTACTTTTTTCTTTAAGCATGTTTTGTTTCTAAACAAATATGTATAGTTTTTTTACTGCTATACAGTATATATTATAATTTGTCTATCATTGCAATCCTATTGTTATAAGCAATTTTAAGTAACCAATGAATATTATTTGCTTTATTTTCTCTAAAGTGAAAATATAATTTTTTTAGCTTGATATGAAGCTTTATTTGTAAATCTTAGACACAGTGAAAATAATTTTGTCTATCTGTTTTAAACCTTAAAGTGCAAGAGAGAGGGAGGGAGAAAGAGAAATTATAGCTTATTCTCAGAAATTTATTTGATAATCAAAAAGTGTGATATTTTGAGAAAGTTTTGGCTACATTCTTAGTTATTCCAATTCAAAATATTTTATGTTTACTCAAAATTTAATCATTGTGCTTTTCAAATAGTTAGTGTGTTATGCATTTATTGTATTTAAGGTATTTTCTTTTTCTGTTTTTTTTCTCCTTCTTTTGTTATAAGCTGGATTTGCTTATAGTTTTTATTGTTTGTCTTTATATAAATTTTTGAAGATAACAAATTAATGTTACCAACTTTGTATCTTTAAAGTTTATATTGATCTTGTGTCAGTTTTCTTGCATATTTTCTTTTTAAAAAATGCTTTGTGTAAGTTGCTTGCTAATTGCTTTTTGTTATTGACTGTTTTTAAGAATACTTATCTAAGATCTTTTAAAATAAAAAAAAAACTTTTTTTGGTAAGGAATTAAAATATTATTCGTATGCCCCTAATATATCTTTAATAAATTATTCACCTCTAATTGAAATTTTCTCCTTCAAGTTCAAATGTATATCGAGTTAAGAGAAAGGGCCTCTAAGTAGACTATTCCTCTCACACCATCTGATTCTAAATTGAGAAAAAAAAGAAGCTGTTAAGAGTTTTTCTTTTAAGACAATCCTTTGTCATATTCTTAAATAAAATTGATTTTAGCAATACGCTTATTAAATTCAGGGATGGCTAGACTTGCAGTGCATGGAATAAACCAAGTTTTTTTGGTCAGGAAATTTAGAAAATTCACGGTTTATTCCCAACAAATTGATTAAGCATTCAAGTTAATATATTCATTTCATTGGTAGTAGCAGAATTTTCAAAAGAAGCTTTGCTAACTGCCAAAAAATGGAGGAGCATAATAGAATATGGTGAATAAATTTATTTACTCATTTTGTACGTATTATAATGTGAAACAAAAGCAAAAAGCTTTTACTTATATTGTTTTATTTTAAAAATAAATATGCTTTGTGCCAGGTTTTTTATTTTATTTTTATGATAGTGAAGCTATTTGTAAAGAATTGTGTAAGATATTGTTACCCAAAATAATGATTTCACTAGACTTTGGAAACTACGGGCTCTTAAGACACAAGAGTTCTGAATTCTGGGTACCTCTTTACTTATCTGTTTAAAATTAAATGAATCTATTTAACGAATATGCTTAAAAAATAATGAATTTATAATTAGAAAATATTACCATTATTCGTTGGTTAATTAATTATAATTTAACAAAGAATTAAAACCAAAATTTCTATATCAATATTTTAATTAATAATTATTTTCCCCTTAATAAAAAAAAAAGTTTTGTTTTACTTTGTCTACATAAATCTGCTAATAGCTATTTATTTATTTTTTTTTGTGTGGAAAATTTACACATCCTGGCAATGTATCGTAATTTTTTGCGTACCACCTTTGATATTCAGTATATTTGGCGCTCTATAGCATGTAAATTGAATTGCTGTCCATGTGCTGCGGTTCTAAGGGAGCTCTAATATTCAATATTGATCTCTTATTTGCAATATCTTTCCTATTTCGACTTTCTGCCATTATTGCCTACAGAAAGTTTACAATTCTTTAAAATGTTACATTTTAAAGAGTTTTATGCTGGACTCCAAATTTTAAAATTAAAATCTATTTTTAGCTTCTGTTTTTTAAAAAAAATTGAAAGATATAATATTTATAAATATATATATCTTAAGAAAGCTTATAAAATGAAAAAAAAAAAAAAACTTTAAAGGTACTTTTAATGAAGTATTGCATGATTTTAATGAAATATTTAACATTGTAATTAATAATATAGTACACTGATTTTTGGCTGTCTAAATGTGTCAATATGAAAAGTAAAGCAACTCTAAAAGTATAAATAAATAAATTTTAAATTATTGATCTAAATTTATATGTCCTTTCAGGAAAATAATATTTTTTAAATCTTTTTTCAGTGGATATTTGAAGATATTTTCCTTTGCATTGCATATTTATAGTCCTATGTAATAATCTTTTCATTACTTTTTGTTTCTTTCCATTTTTTTATTTTATCAAATATTATGTAGCTTTGCCATAATTAAATAATATTCTATGCAATCCAAAAAATGTAGAAGGTTTGGAGCTAAAAACTGTTAAATCAAAATCTTAAAAATCAGTCTCATCCTAATTTTTTTAAGAAGTTTACTTTTTGTTTAACTTTTATGATTACTATAAAATTTTTATACTTTGTTCTGCTGTATTAGTGAACAAAATTTTATTATATTGAATCATACTAGTCACAAGGCTTTCACCCTTCATAATACTGTCTTAGTCCTCAGCCTTTTAATGATTAGGCTGTATACCACCCTACTTAATATTAAAAAAAAAAGTATATTGTTTATATAGTAATTTTGAATATGAATAACAATTTGTGTTGTATTTTAAAATATTAATTAGTATATCACTATGTTAATAAATATATTAATTATATTAATATACTAATTAATAAATTAATTATATTAATATACTAATTAATATATGAATGAAATCAAGTTAATAAATTATAAATAAAGGTGGTGATGTTAGAGTTAAAATGCCTTCAAGATAAGAGAGATGCTATTAAACCATTTATTTATAATGTTCTTTCAAATAATGATTAATATCAAAAAATCAATTATATAATTGATATTTACATACTAAAAATCAATTATATAATTGATATTTACATACTAAAAATGTATGATAAATAAATTCTTTATTATTGAAATCACCTTCTAAAAGCTTATGAGTGCTCTTCTAATTTAAAATAAATTTCATGTACTATATCATTTTAATGTTGTCTGCCAACTGCAATATTATGTTTCTTGCACAGTAATTATTATCATATACAGTACTTATTGTCATTATACAGAGATGTGTTAGTAAATAAGAATTTGATAATTGGTCTTCACGCTGTCTAATACAGATGTTGGAAACATTTTAGTAAATATAAGATTGATGTAAATGTGTATATGTAAATTGTAAAAATAAAAAAAATTTCATCCTGAATAATTTTTTGTACTTTGTTTAGTTTTATGAAAATATTAACTTAATAAAAAGCATTTAGAAATTAAAAAACTACTTTGTTTAAATTTTTTCCACCAAAGTAGTAAGAAATAATTTTGTAATACACACTTTGTATTTAATTATCTTATTTAATTATGCTTATAATATTTGTTAAATGTGAAATATTGTAATGAAATATTCCTTTAGGTTTGAAGGTTTAAAAGGTTACTACAAAGGAATTGTGCCAAATATGTTGAAAGTAACTCCTGCTACAGCTATAACTTTTGTTGTGTATGAGAATACTTCAAAATATCTCCTTAAGTCAGAAAAGGAAAGTTGAATTTTGCTCCCAAAATTAAAATTTAAAGTTTTATTTTGATGACTTACACTGTATATATGTTGGCATTAAATCATTGAAAAATATATTGTCTCATTTTTATTTTTAAAATATTGGAAAAACACTGAAGAAAAAAAAATTCACTATAGGACTAATACATTCAATTGAAAATTTTATCATTCTAATAAATAGTGTGTTGAAGTTAACTATGAAGATTAATAACAAGGTAACTGTTATAATTTAGTTAATTATTTAGATAATAAATTTAAATGCTGCAAGGGATGTATATTATAAATTTAACTAGTAATTATTTTGATTTAGTGTCAAACCTCTTAAAAAATGTTATTAAATTTGGCAAGATAACCTTGTATCACTCCTTTGGACCAAAAATTCAGCATTTGCTATCCCATTTGAGATCAAATGGTTTTGTATTTATTTGTGTTTTATGATCAATATTTGTAGTTGACAAAGTACTTTTTATGAGAGACCTTTTTAAAAAAAAATTCTTTGAATACGACATGACATTGAAGTGACAGCAATGTGTAATATAAAAATTATATTTTGCCAATATAAGAAAATAGTGTAGATATTCCGTTTAGTTTCCTACTTAGTAATTTATTTATTGTTGACAACAGTTTTCCCACTGGCAGCAAAAAAAAGCAAAATGAACTTTAAAACTGTGCCATTTTTTAAAAAAATGCTTTGCCAATACTTTAAAATTTAGTTGCAGGATTCTAAGCTCTTTTATTTTAGGCCTGAATTATTAATATTTAGTGGAAGTCAAACTAATTTTATTATAGTTTTTTTAAAGCAAGAAATATGTTATAAATCCTATATTTGACTACCATTAAAAAACTTAAAAGTTTGCAATATCTTAACTTTTACTGGTTTTTCAGCTGATAAATTTCAGTAATCAAAAAAATTTTTAAAATTTTTCATGTTAAGAATTAATTCATTGTTTTATGGGTTGAAACAATGAATTTAACAAAGGAGTCTTTAATAAGTCTTAGAAAGCCATCAAGGCTATGGTGTCCCTGTTATTAGAGAATTGGATTTTGGAGGAACAGGGATTCGATCATCGATTCTGCTAAGGCCCACCCAGTGTATGTAATGTACATGCTCATAAAATCTGTGGAATCGGAAAATCATGTGGTCGGTCATCGAACAACACCCTGGGCACAGTGATGAAATGAAAAATTCCTTCCCCATCAGATCTATGTAAAAATTGTAGAAGTGGCCTTGAAGGAATGGTGCTGTCATCTATCCGGGAAGCTTCGCCTTTGCGGTGCTCTCTTGTTAAACTAAAAGCGTACCTTCTCGACTTAATTTGCAAATGACTAGAGTGCTAGGCTTGTCCAAGTGTTATAAAAATCAACACAAACAAACTATCAATATGTATTTTGATATTGTGCTCCTAAAAAAAAAACACTGGGGAATTCCATTTTAATGAATTATTTTCTGATTTTTTTTTCTCATTAAAAAAATAAACTACTGAGTTTTAATGCTTTATTGAAACATTCAGTGGTCGGAAGTCTCATGTAAACATGAATAAATGCTTATTAATAATTTCTTGTCTTTAATATAGGCAATTTTTTTTTATTCAAAACCATTTTGAATAAAAAAACATATGTAAATTTTTTCAGCAGAGTTCTAGTGAACTTGTCACTAATTTTAAAAAAAAGTTGTTAACTGCATTTGTAACAAAGTAACTGTAGTAAACTACAAAAATAATGTAGTTTTTTTCGACCTCTGCAAACATATGATACTTATATTTTATATGAATACAAATTATTAAAAATATCCTTTAAAATAGTTCTTCATTCTGTCAATCATGAATGTCTGTGAGAAATATTAAAAGACTTTTCAAGCTGCATTTTAACGCATCCGTAAAATAATAACAAAAATCTTATCATAGATTTGTATATAAATGCAATTAAGAAAAGTAACTAATTATGTTATAACTATTAATACTTAATGCCTGTATCAGAATAGATTGTTTCTAACTATTAAATATGAAGCACATTAAAACAAAATGACCAGACTTTGCAGCTTGAATATTTAAGTGAATTTGTGTTTAAACAGTGATAAGTTAGTGTTTTATCAAATCTTAGAAAATCATTAATATGTTCAATCACAAAATCATCAGTGGGCATTAATGGTGAGTTATATTGTATTCACTGTTAGTGAACACAATATAACTCACCATTTCCCCTCACCTGGTTTGCGATTTTTCTTTTTTAAATCTGTCTCTTAAATTAATAAACAGTGAGCCCAGAATGGGCATTTTTCTCCATTTTTTAATCATAAATATCTATCGTAATATTTTTTTTTTTTTTTTTACATCCATAGTAACAAAGTATTATTATTAAATTTTTATTAATGATAAAATATACGAGTTATAAAAATTATCAGAATTTTTAAACACATAGATCTAAAAAATTATAAGTCAAGTTGTTGCTGTGAAATTTAAATGAAATTAAAATATGAGAAAATTAAAATTCTAAATGTAAGATTCAAGATAAATTTTATTGATATCAATAAGATATTATTATTTAATATTTTTTTTAGAATAAATGTTCTATGGTGGGCAATTACCCAGTTATAAAAACTACCTAGTTTAAAAAAAGACCATAGGTGCACCTTTTTATAAAGCTGGTTCACAATGCCTACTATTACAGAGCAAGTTTTATTATTTAGGGTGCTCCCTGCTCCGTAATTACTTCCTTTTATACATACTTTGTTACTTCTTCCCGAGAAAGAAGTAATTAAAACCTACTAATAAAGGAATGCTAGTTAATATTTAAATGAGAAACAAAAGGAAAATTAGTATATTATATCTTATGAATCATTATTGAAGTCAATTGCAAGGAAGGTATAACTAGTTAATTTATCAGCGAAAATTATGAAGTGTCTAATGCTAAATACTCTACCCGATAACAATTATTAGGAACTACTTTAGGCGCTCCCGTGCCACAGGTCCTGGGTTCGAGCCAGGCAAGGTTGACTCAACCTTTCATCCCTTCAGTGGGTGATAAATTAGTACCAAGCATGCTTGGGAACTAAACACTGGGGATTCTGCGTCGGCTTACCGCCTGACCGGAACATCTGCTACTGCACCCCAGAGTCCAAGGTCAAGAAAACTGAGATGGGCACAGTAGGCCTTGGACCTCTATGGGCTGTCGAGCAACTGAGTGTAGTTCAGTTTGAATTACATACATTCAATATAATAAATTTTGTAGCTTTTAATTTTATTTTATTTTATAACCGTCGTTGAACAGCCGACCCAATTTCATGGGTTTACGACTACTTACGTTCAACTCCGTAGCCTTGTAATTTTGAACCAATCCAGAAGACAAGGAAACTCCTGGATCAGTACCCCCAGAGGTATTGATTTGTTGTGGGAACATGGAGGACTTTGAGACTCGACAGATTTAACGTGCATCAGTCACCATTTACTACACGGGGAGTCTTCGGCCGGCGAGGATCGAACCCACGACCTCTTGGATATGGGCCCAGCGCCCTACCGACCAGGCTATCCCGGCCCTGTAGCTTTTAATTGTTCCTTCAGTTGTTGTCGTTGGCCATTAAGGAAGGGGTGCTCTCTATGGCCAAGAATTCAATTTCTGCCACATCCATACGTCACGCCCGTTTATAGGGGCTACTCATTCATACATCCATTCATTCAACCACTTATTCTAGTCAGTGAGCCACGATTGGTCAACGGGTAGGCCACTGAACAGTTGTGAAGAACTGAAGTTTGATCCCCAGTGGTGGCTTGAATCACATCCAGCTTTAGATCGATGGGTACCAGTTTGTCTGGGAGCTAAAGGCTGCCTGTGAACAATGATTACCACATTGTAACAATCAGCAATTGCCACATCGTTGAGTCTTTACCTACATGAATAACCTAGCACCCTGGGCTGTTGTGGAAATGCTTTACTTTTATTCTAGTGAATAAAAAAAAATAATTATGAACTATTTTATATATAAATATAACAACAGAACGTAAGTGATTCGCTGCTAAGATGAAGATATAATTTTTATCTGTCTTACAAATCGAATAACAGACTATTTACTAATCAGCAAATGTCGTCGAATACCGAATAGAAATAAAATATGCATTCTAAAAATCGTATTTTAAAATAAAAATATAGTTTCAGTGGTTAAAATTTTTAAAAAGAATAAAAAAACTAATTAAAAGAAAAATTTCTGAACTTATTTAAAATTAACTTATTTATTGAATTTAAAAAGTGAACTTTAATAAAGTAGATACTGATATGGTAAACGAGACTCACTGAGAAAAAAAGTATGGTAGAAGCTAAAAAAATTTTACCAAATGTGTTAACCGTATTTCTTGCCTTATTGGAATACCAAAAATCGCATTAATTTTTACCGCAGCATTTTGGTAATGATTTTGATAAAATTTACAATAAAATATGGTTTTATAATATGTGATAAAAATTTCATAAATGTGGTAAAATTTGGTAATTTTATCATGATACCTTAGTGCGTGGCATAAAAGCTGTTTATTCGATTAAATAAATATTTCAGTTCTATATTTTGTACTAAATGTGTGGTGAAAAAAACTATAATTTTGAAAATCAAGATTTCTTGTGAACCATATGAATGGAAAAATTACCATATGAATGGTTATTTTATTTTGGTTTTATTAATCAAAATTATGCTTTTTAAATTTTTTTTTTTTAGGTACTGTAATTTTTCCAGAATTTTTTTTCCCCGTGCTTTATGCCGAATTTTTCCACTCAATAAATAAAATAAAAGCAGTATATACACAGATGAAAAAGAAATGATTATCTTAAAATTACAATAAATAATTCGCAGTTTGATTACAATAAATAAAATTACAATAAATAATGATCGAAATTAATGAAATAAATAATGATTAAAATTACAATAAATAATTCGCAGTTTCGCAATCTTAAAATTACAATAAATAATTCGCAATTAATCTTAACCTTTTTTCTCTCTCATTGTATTGACGAGATTTTGTAAGAGCCTCCCACTAATTGAATGAACACGTTATTTCTATCGACACAAAGCTCGTAATGTTTTCTTTTATAATCACAAGAGGGCTCTGTTTCTGGTCGTAACCCTAGAAAACTCTGATGCAGTTCTTTTCGAGCGAGCTTCTTACTCTTTTGTCTTAAGTTTAATTTAATATCTCAATTTTAATGTCTTGAAATTTTTTACACTTTATTTTAATTATATAAGAGGTTACTCCTTCAGCTTTTTAATTAATCCTCGGAGTTTTACAATTTCATTTCCGTAAATTAAATAGAAATTTAAACAGAGCAAGAAGCGCTGTTTTTAATTTTACTTGTGTTTTCTAAATAAAATTAGAGAAAGTGAATTTTCGTAAGTATGACGAATGGCCAAGCAAAATTTACCGGACTGGGAAATTCTTAAGGAGGTTATAACGTCCCAGCGCCCCAGTGGATTTTATTGCAATTTTTCCTTGCATTTTGCAAAAACTTATGATCTGGCAACTTGTTTCTAGTTACTAACGTGTTGAGTTACTAACTTGAATTTTAATGCTAGTTAAGTATAGAAGATAAAATATTAAAGACATAAAGAAAGACATTTACCTTTTAGCATTAAATATGCATATTTGCTTAAATAATAGTAAGTGTATTTACTCTCTAAAACGCCAATTTCATTTGTTATTGTAAATTATAAATAAGATTTTTTATTTTAGTTTATTATGGAACAAAAATGCAATTAGTAGTAATGGAAATTATTTTTATACTATTTAAACCATATCCTCAGGTGTTTTCCGATAGTTGTTTTTTTTATCGCCATTTTTTTTAATTTTATTGACCCTTATGNTTATTTTAGTTTATTATGGAACAAAAATGCAATTAGTAGTAATGGAAATTATTTTTATACTATTTAAACCATATCCTCAGGTGTTTTCCGATAGTTGTTTTTTTATCGCCATTTTTTTTAATTTTATTGTCCCTTATGCTCCTTGACGAAAGATATAAAATAATAGAAGATTAGATATATTATATATATTTTTTTCTCTACGTTTTAGGTACATTATGTTTTTTATTTTTCTGCAGATTTATTCTTAAATATGTAGATGCTGTAACTATTTGAAGTTTGACTATTTAAATGCTTAATTCGCATCAAGTTTAGTAAATTAAATTATTTTAAGTTTGTAATCCTTACGAAATAATGTAAGTTGTTCAGTATTCTAATTAAAAAAATTATAAAAATTTCTTTATATGGTCATTTTGAAATTAAAAAAAAGTTTATTTAATTTTCAGAATAAAATTTTTGTTTATATATTTTGGGGCAGTCCAAATATGTGTCTTTAAGCAGACTATAAATTATAACTTCATAGGTAGTTAGTTGTTCAGTGTTGTAAATTATAACTTTTTAATTAATTCTTCTTTCTGACTTTTTTGTTGTTGTTGTTTTATGTTAGTATTCTGTGCCAAATTTAATCCGATTTTGATCCTGACTTTTTCATATTATTTCCTTTTGATTTTCTTTTTGGACCACTATGAGGCCCGCTTTTCGCATAGTTAATATTTTTTTATAATGATTATTATATACTGATAAATAAGACAAGACTTTTGGTCATGATTTACAAGACTTTAGGTCAAAATAAACCATTTATGAATTAATATATTGTCAGTGGTCTGATCTTATGACTTAATAAAAACAAAAACCTTGGATGTTAAATTTTCTTAATTTCTAATGAACACATCATTGATAATCATTTTTGTTGTTAACCTGATTTTGATAAACTTATATACTTATGATACTTAAGAAAAAAATTTTTTTTTTGTACTTTTATTTCATTTGAGCAAATGATTATTTTGAAAAATGCACATACAAATTGATATAAGTAAAATATTTTTTTCAATTTAATTTTATTAAATAAATGACAAAACCAAATTAATCGGTATTTTACAGTACTCTTATTATTACCAAAAATATTTGGATTTACTGTACTCTTATTACTACCATTATTTGCTCTTACAAAAATTTAAAGTGTTTTTGAGGTTCATCTGAAGTTGTTTTGAGATGTTAAGTTTGATTTGATGTTTGATTGAAATCAACTTCCCGAGATTTAGAATAAAGGTGTATGAAGTTGTTTTATTCACACTTGAGGTTGCTTTGAGGTTGACAGAAATCTACCTTAGAGCTACTAGCTCAGAGAGGTTGTTTTTGAGAGGTTTATACAGGGCCGGATTAAGCGCAAGCGGAGCCCTAGGCCATTCAAATTTTTGGGGTCCTTAGATTAAAGTTTTTTTTTTCTCGTATGTTTTTTATTTATTCAGTTATAGAAGTATTTATATATTTTTTCATTTAAGAAAGCATATTTGAAACGGGAGAATTTATTAGTCCATATA